TGCATTCCTCTTCCTTTTCCTCTTTATTTTTAATTTTGTTTTTATCTAGACAGGGTTTCTCTGTATAGCTCGGGCTGTCTTAGTACTGGCTCTGTAGACCAGACTGGCCTCAAACTCACAGAGATCCACCTGCTTCTGTCTCCAGAGTGCTGGGATTAAAGGTGTGTATCACCGAACCCTGCCTCTGTTCCTCCCCAACCCCCTTAAACAATAACCAAGTTGAGAACACTCAGATTGGCATCCACAATGCATCCCCAAGTAGACTTGCTCCTCCTCCTCTCCAGCTCTCCTTGCTCTGTGACAGGAATCCCCTTCTTCAACAGTAGGCTCACTCCTGCTTCATGGGAAAACCTTATTTGTCGTTCCCACCACAGAGCCTGACACACAACCCTCCCACTGTTCACCCAGGGCACCGGCTGCTACTTCATGGCTGCGTGCTTCTCACAGAATGTGTGGAGCTACATCATCGTCCACTTCAGTGAGCTACTAACAAACTGGTATCTTGACACAGCCAGCGGCCTGGGAGTCACCATGAAAAAGAACTTGGTATCAATTTGAAGATTTACATAAAATTACAACAGTTGACTAAATACCTTGAAAGTGCAGTTGAGAATTTTGGAGTCTCCTTATCCTGTGATTAAACTTGTTTTTTATAAAATACATTGCTTATCGAATTTTCATGATGAATGTGTCAGTATATGACTATTCTCCCCAGTATGAGGGTGGAGCCAGGGCCCTGTATATACAAGGTACTGAGTCACGTCCTCCCCAGTTCCCGATAAGAAGGAGATCTTAGAATTCATTTACCTCTTGGGAAAAATTTATTAAATTTATAAATAGGTTATATTGAAAGTTGGTTTTTGTTTTTTTAATGATTTGTATACTTAAACAATTGAGTGATTTTCTAGTTTTCATTCTTGTACTAAGTGTGGCGATTTTCTTTTACCTTCTGTATAAGATTTAAGAAACTCGGCAGAAATGCCAATTCCTGTTAATCTTGTGCTTTCCTTCTATTTTGGAGTTTCTGGGTTGGATATTTGAAATACATAGCCCAGGCTAGTCTGGAAAGTGTCCTGTGTGTAGTCCAGGCTAGCCTCAAATTTTCGAGACCTACTTTTGTCCCCTGCCTGGATTTCAGTCACATAGGCTTTCCTTTCCCTTCCATTAACTAAACATATAACAAATTTAAACCTGTTGAGTACTTGCCTGGGGCTAAGCACTGTTGTATACTCCCAAGATAAGCCTGTTATCCTGTATCTTATGTATGATGTGTGTGTGTGTGTGTGGTGGTGGTGGTGGTGGTGGTGGTTTGAAAAAGGCCCCCAAAGGGAGTGGCACTATTAGGAAGTGTGGCCTTGTTGGAAGAAGTGTGTCACTGTGGGGCTGGCTTTGAGGTCTCTTGTTCAAGCTCCCCTCAGTATGGCAACCAACACTCAACTCCAGCACCACACCTGCTTGCATGCCTCCGTGCCACTGCCATGATGATGGACTGATCCTCTGAGACTAAGCAAGCCATCCCAATTAAACGTTTTCTTTATAAGAGTTGCTGTAGTCATGGTGACTCTTCAGAGCAATAAAAGCCTTAACTAAGACAATATGTGATATTAGAGGGAATGAAACACTATTTAGCTTATATTGGAATTGAACTGTTATAAGCATGCATGTATATAAGTGTATATATATTCTGGCTTCCAGATCCACAGGTAGGCAAGACTGACCTTGAGCTTAGTTCTCCAGGGTGTTTGGATTACAGGCATGTACCACCACACTCAGCAGAAACCATCTGTAAATATCAATATTTACTTGACTCTTAAACATTTAGAATCAACCTAGATAGGATGTCATTCTAGTTGACTGAGATGGACGCCAGAGGTGAGCAGTGTAGGTTGGGTTGCCTTTCTCAAGTGCTCTCTTGGCAGAGATGGTATTTCTCTGCCATCTGAGTATGGTTGGCACCTTTGGTTGATTAGGAAACTGAACGATCATTTAGGCAATGATTATTCCAAAGGACGTTTAATTGGTAAATGAGAGGTGTGTGCCTTCTTAAGCGTCTCGGGAACAAGGCTGTTTCTCAAAGGTCAGCACCCTAAAGAATTTCTTGGACATTTGGTTTTATGATGCAAGTATATGCACATTAACACATTGACTTTAGGGAAATTTTTATGGAGATATCCACTCCCACAAGGAATTCAGAGTGGGTAGAGTCTCAATGTCTTCCCTCTGCTTCCAAGCCTGTCAAATGCTTGAGTCAGATAGGTTCCATCTGCATATTCTTTTAGTTACGCAGGGTGGATGCTCACAGTGTGAGTGAAGCAGTGGAGAGCATATCCAAGACATGGCGTAAAGAACTTAGCAGGGTGCGCGTGCGCGGTTGAGGACAAGTTTGAGCGTTTGTTTCTGCCTTCCATCTTGTTAGCCTGCCGAGTGCTGGAACTGCATGCCTTCTCTCCTCATATGCCTGACTTGGCGGTTATTCTTGAACAAAGCAACATTTTCTCTGTATATTCTAATTAGATGGTGCTCAGATTTTTTTTCCTTAACTGACATTATATCTACTATTTTGGTCTGCTTTCCCTGGTGATTTGCTGTTTTACTGTGTCATGAAAATTACTGAATGCAATTCCCTTCTGCTCCATGTAGATTGTGAGCAGGGAGTCTCTGAATTTTTATACTTGATATTTGTTCTTATTGTATATAGTTTTGTATTGGGTTTTGAACTCTCTTATTTAGATAAAAGGGGGAGGTGCTATGGGAGCTCCTTCAGCCAATGGCCTTTGAGATGCTGAACCACTTTGGGTGTGGCCTTGGGTACTATAAAAACATGTAAAAAAATGTGAGCAGTCTCTCTCTCTCTCTCTCTCTCTCTCTCTCAGCTGTTGAATTCATTTCCTGTTCCCTGCTCATGCAGAGGACTGTTGATCTGTGAATCTACCCTTAAATAAAGAACCCTTTATTATACTCTATTCTGAGCTACTGTGGGACTACTTTATCACAATCCACTACAGATGAAGATTCCTCATGTTTTCTCTATTGTGGATTTCTTATCCTGAAACCTACTAACTTATTTTTGATTCATATTTTACATTGAATCTAGGCTGGCTTCAATCACAGCAATCCTCCTGTCTCACCCTCCCAAGTACCAGTATTATCATCATCATTATTAGTGTGCATATGTTCATGTGATTGAATGTGAGGTCAAAGTTAAGTGTTTTTCTCAATCTTTTTGTTTGCTTGCTTGTTTGAGACAAGATCTCACTATGAAGCCCTGGTTAGTCTAGAAATCTCTGTGTAGGCTGACTGGTCTAGCACTCACTGTGTAGGCTGGCTTTGAACTCACAGAGTCTTCTTTGCCTCCTTAATACTGACATTAAAAGCGTGCACCACTGTGTCCAGCTTCTTTAAAGGGTGGTCGAGATGGAGGTCAAACCTTCATGTTTGTGCACAGGTACTTTACCGACTAAGCCATTTCCCAAGTCCTAGGATGATGTGAGATTCCCTTCTGTATGCTGTGAATATGTTTTATTACCATTGGTTAATAAGAATAAGTTGTTTCAGCCAATGACTTAGCAGAGTAAAGCCAGGCAGGAAATCTGAACAGAGATAGAGAGAGTAGGCGGAGTCAGAAAAGACGCCATGTAGCTGCTGAAGATGCCAGAATCTTACCAATAAGTAGGCCACAGCCTTGTGGTGATACATAGATTAATAGAATGGGTTAATTTAAGATGTAAGAATCAGTTAATAAGAAGACTGAGCTAGGGGCTGGAGAGATGGCTCAACGGTTAAGAGCAGCAACCGCATGGTGGCTCACAACCATCAGCAATGAGGTCTGGTGCCCTCTTCTGGCCTTCAGGCATACACTCAGAAAGAATATTGCATACATAATAAATAAATATTTTTTTTTTAAAAAAAAGAAGACTGAGCTAATAGACCAAAGAATGTTGTAATTAATATAGTTTTTGTGTGATTATTAAGGTCTGGGTAGTCGGGAAACAAATGAGCAGTCTCTGCTTACACTAGAATGTCTTTAAATGCATAGGATTGCTAAAGACTCTATTTTAAAATGCAGTTAGCAAACCCTAGTGTACTAGTTTAAGCCTGCTCAGGCAAGAGGATTGCTGCAGGTTCCAGGCCAGCCTGGGATACAGTGCAAGAGACCCTGTCTCCAGAAAAGAAAGCTGAGCCCATACAGTTAGCAAATGATATAGTAATATATACTTTTCAATATAATCGTGGGGAGCTGGGAATGGCTCTCATGTATGAGGCCTTGGGTTCAGTGCCCAGCACTGCATGGATAAGGTTTGATGGCCCATAGCTGTAAGCCCAGTGCTCAAAAGGTAAAGGCGGTGACCTCAGGAGTTCAAGGTCATTCTTGGTTAGTCTGCATAAGACCACATGTGTCTGGGTGTGTGCATGCATGCATGCATGTTTGTGTGTGTATGTACAAGTTTGGCAACATAGTAAATTTCTTGGCACTAAATGCGTCTTTTGTGGCATGAGAGCACCTGATTTTTATTGATTTGAGAATTGCAGGTACTATGGCTTATATCTAGCACTCATGACAAAAGAATGCGTTGAATGTTATAGTCAGGAAGTAGTGAAAACATGTGAGTTTCCTTCCATCGCACGTTCCCTAAAAGCTATCGCGAGCCCTTTGGCTGTGATCTCAGAACAAAAATATCTGGACTAAAGCTTTATTTGTGCCCTGGGAGGCTTAAGCTGAGGAAAGGGGTTTCGGGAGCTAAACATAGTCATCAGAACAAATGAATTTATCTGTCTGTTTTTGTGGTTTAGAAAATTTCAGTCATTTAAGAATGCCAAGTCCATGTGTCTTGGGCATCCCTGGGGGTTGGCGACTTTGTCCATGGGCTGCATTTCCTCATTACATCTTGTGAAGTTAAATTAAAATTCATATTTTAATTATTTCTTAAATTCTGTGTTGGCTACTGGTGTGTTTTTCTTTTGTAAGTTTTGTTTCTTAAAACATTTTAATTCTTCTGCAGGATTCGGAAACTTCAGATACGAAATATCCCGCCACACTTACAATGGGAGGTAAGACCTTCTATATTTTAAGCTAAGATCTTAGTTCCAGAGTCTAGTATTTTGTTTTTCCAAAGATTTTTCTCCTTCCTTCAGCTCTCAGGTGTGCTAGAACCTAATTCTTCTCTCTTATGGTGGTGGTATGGATTTTTCTTTGTAGAATTAAACTCCTTAAAACTATTCTTTGAAATGTTTTTAAAAATGCTTAATAGTTGAGAGTAGTTGTTACCTTTCTCATTCAACTCCATCCAGACCGTGTCCTGTTATTTGAGTTGCCCATTGGAATTAAATAAGACATTCTTTCCTTGGTAGAATTTTTAAAAGACATACACTTGCTACCTAATACTTTATTTTAAAATGCAATTCTGTTTTTTGCTTAGAGAGTGGATCTGCAGTGATTGTGAATCAACAAAAACTATGTAGCACAGTTAGCTAGTCTGTGTCAGCAATTTCCACAGCGTCAAGATGGTGTCGTGGTGAGAATTTGAGACACCAGGAGTTGAAGAGGTCAAAGTAAATGATTGTTAACTCTTCTAGACCATGAACTCTAGAAATTAAAAGAAAAGGAATCTTATATGTTTACTGCGTGGGTCTGTGCACTTCCTTGTGGAGGCCAGCGGACTTTTCAGGAGTTGATTCTCTTCCACCCTGGGGACCCAGGGATTGAACTCAGGTCTTCAGGCTTGACTGCAACAGCACCTTTATGGGTTGAGCCATCTTGCTGGCTTCTCAGAAAGGTTTCAAAACTTGCCTTGAAGCTTTGCAAGGGAACTGCTCAGTGTCTGTATAGTTAGAACACCAAGAATGACTTGTTTTGTGGTTTGAGATTAGGATTCTAAATGAATGTGCTGCGTCATTAAACCAAAGCTCTTATTAAAATGCAAAGTATGATTTCAAGGTTTCCGTGGCAGTGAGCTGAGGGAAATTGTTGAGTTTTGACTCCCAAGCTCCTGAGTAGTATCAGATCATTTGTGCTTAGGATACGCAGTGCTGTCCTGTGACCCAGCTGTTGCCTCCTGGAAAGGATGGCTAGTTCCTTAGTCTATTCTAAATGTTTCTGTTTCACAGTAAACAACTTTGTGGGTTGAGTGGTGATTTCAGAGATTAAAGGACATGCATTTCCCTGTTTTAGAGTAATTTTTGTTTAGGAAATTAGCTTGAGGAGTAGGCCTCAAACTGCTTGTGGTAGCATCAAGATCAATTTGAGCTTGGGCCATATTAAATATGGCTTAATCAGATACTGTGCTCAGGAATCACATCTAGTGTGATATGGCTGTCAGGGAGAGAGTCAAATACAGCGGCCAAAAATAGGGTCTATCTGTTGAGCTAGCGGCAGAGTATTCATTGAGACTATATGGCTTGTCATGACGGTTTTCTTTCTTGTATTTTCCCCTTGTTCTGAGTAAAATATAATCAGGCAATCTGTTATTTGCCCTAATTTTTTCTTCATAGTTAATTTTCTCTACTCTCCTTCCACTCCTGCCTCCATCCTTCTATCTGCTTCTCTGTTCTTTTTTTTTTTTTAAATTTTATGATTTATTTGTCTTTTATTTTATATGCATTGGTGTGAAGGTGTCAGGTCCCCTGGATCTGGATTTTCAGACAGTTATGAGCTGCCATCTGGGTGCTGGGAATTGAACCCGGGTCCCCTGGAAGAGCAGTCAGTGCTCTTAAACGCTGAGCCATTTCTCCAGCCCTCCTTCTCCGTTCTTTCGCAAGGTCTCGGCTGTGCAGTTTCTGACTGACTCTAAACTCAGGACCCTCAGCCTTAGCCTTCAGAGTCCTGGGATTACAGGCACTGCCTCTGCTGTAGACCCATGTTCTCTTTTGAAAGGGGCAAATGAAATTAAAGTAATTACATGTAGAAGAACCTTGGATCTAGAATTTAGAGTCTCTTCAGCTTTGGTTCCCTCTTAAACTTTTTTAAATGTTTATGATTTATTTATCTTTATTTTATGTGCATTGGTGTGAAGGTGTCAGATCCCCTGGAACTGGATTTTCAGACAGTTGTGAGCTGCCATGTGGGTGCTGGGAATTGAACTCGGGTCCTCTGGAAAAGCAGTCAGTGCTCTTAACCGCTGAGCCATTTCTCCAGCCCCAACTTTTTTTTTTTTTTTTACATTAATTAACACCATTTTTTTTTTTGTAAGGGTGGGCAGGGTCTTGTTGTATAACTTTGACTGACCTCAGACTTTCACAGTCCTCCTGCCTCAGTCTCCCAAGTGACTGAGCGTGTACCAGCAGGTGTGATTGAAAACCAAATTGATCAGGCTTGTTAAGAGTAGAGGGAGTGTGCAGTTCCTTTCCCTAAAGGCTTGTGTTGCACGTTTATTCCTGGCGTCAGGAAAAGGTCACGTTGTGTATCTTTTGTCTCTGCACCCTGGGTGTGCTAATAGTCTTGTGCCAAAGCCTTACTGCAGACAGTGATAATTGTGCACTTACCGTTCAGACTCCATTATAATGGGAGGATTAGACTTTGAGTCCACTGATTAATCTTAGGGTCACAGAGAGTGGAACAGCCAGACATTATGTGACTCATGATTGGATGAAGGAAATTCATTACACAGACGAAATATTCCTGTGTAAAAAAGAGATTTGACTACATACATTCTGTTTTAATTAAATTTTACAAGAAATATGGATGATGGGGTATAGATTAAATGATAACCAAGCCTGTGGTATGAGGCGTTTCGCAACATAAACAATGCTATTTTGTTAGACAGTCAATGGCCTGACAAAAGGAAGGAGATTTCTAGAACACGACTTGTGCACATGCCTGTAGTGAGCTGTGAGCTGTGTACAAGCTCAGTGCACCAGTGGACAGGAAACATGGCAGCTTGTAGGGGGACTAAATTGTAGCCTAGCATCATGGCTTTATTTCTGAACACACACACACAGACACACACACACAGACACACACACACACACACACACACACACACACACACACACAGACACACACACACACACACACACACACACACAGACACACACACACAGACACACACACACACACACACACACACACACACACACACACACACCATACACCATGGCACACATGTGGCAGTTGGAGCTGGTTCTTTCCTTCTACCATGTGGTCCCAGGGACTTGACTCAGGTTGTCAGCTTGGCAGCAAGTGTCTTTACCCACTGAGCCATCTCTCGTCAGCCTTAAACACACTTAAAAAACATCTGAGACTTGCTGGGCGGTGGTTGCGCACGCCTTTAACCCCAACACCTGGGAGACAGAGCCAGGTGGATCTCTGTAAATTTGAGGCCAGCCTGGTCTACAGAGTGAGTTCTAGGACAGCCAGGATTGTTTCACAGAGAAACTCTGTCTCAAAAAACAAACAAACAAACAAACAAACAAAGATCACACCTGCCGAGAGCATAGCACTCTCAGTACTGGGGAGGCAGAACTTTGTGAGTTCGAGACCAGCCTGGTCTAAATAGTGAGTTCTAGGGCAGCCAGTGCTACATGGTGTGACCCTGCTTCAGAAGGAAAGAAAAATTACATCTACTGTGACCCTAGAAACAGTGATTGGTCTTTGTGAGCAACCTATCATTATGTGTGTGATAAAACAAGCTCATCACTTCTCAGCCTTAATTAAGGTCTCATGGCCGTCAGGTCTAGCTGGTCCCACAGCGCACACACTAGGCCTTCACCAGAAAGGACATTTGAATGTGGAGAATCACGTGGGATCTTGAGGTTATAGAGCAAAAGGGATAGGAATAGTGACTGAGGGGAGCAGACGTTTAGATCCGAGGAACTTGGAGGGAGAGCCAGAGTAGCTGGGACTGGGCTCTTTGAGCTGTGCAAACTCATGGCTGGAGGCCCATAGCCATCAAAGGCTCAAGCCAACTGCTGGAATGGAGATAGGACCAAAAGGAGCTCATCTTACAGCCTTGCTCTTCCCTACCCCCAGCCCCCCTCTAACCCGACTCCAGCGCCTACCCCCCATCCCCACGGGGCTGCCCTCTCTGTGGCTAGAAGCTCACAGGGAGCAGGTTGGGAAAAGGATGGTTGAAGTTCTCAGAGTCCCAAAGAGAAGCAGATATGGGGTTGAGAGCTTTCTTATCCTGCTGATGCTCTAACCTGGAAACCAAAGGTAGCAGTCTCATCCCGCCACTTCCCTGGTCAGCCGGGTCTGACGGCCACACTGGGAGCCGTGTGCTGGTCTCTTGTCACCTCACTCCTCTTCCAGGTGAGCGATGAGAAGCGGTTCCTCTCGGGTCCTTTGGGTAGCACCCTTCCAGACTGTGTTGTCAGCAGGGCTTTAATGGTTTCTAGCGATTTCCTTTTTGATGATGTAAAGCATTCTGAACACCAGGGTGGGAGAAGATTTCACAGCGTTTGTGTCTGTGATAAAGATATAACTTTTGGAGGGCCTGATTCTGGAGCGCTAGGAAAGCTTTTCCCCATATGTAGGGTAGACACAGGAAACAATCCTCTGTCATCCTTCACCTCGGCAACGCCGAGGGAGGGCGTGGCCACCTGGGGCTGACCGGAAACACCATACTTTCTGATCTTTCCTTTCACTCTACTCTTTCTTGCGGTGGCTCCACTTATGTTTAAGGAAGGTTCACATGTGAGATTAATTTCCAGTGTCTTAGGAAAGAACGTCTCTGAGAATTTCCTGATAGTTGCTCTCTGATCAGAGAAATCAGAATCCCTTGTAGCATTCATAAACGAAAAGACGAGAACCATAATCCGCTGGCCATGGGGGTGAAGTGGTCCTAGAATAAAGGGCAAATTAGGGCCTTCTGTGGGGAAGTGGAGGGTGGTGTTTCCAGAGTGGGTTAGAGACAGCTGAGCCTCGGATAGTCGTCTGTATCCGAAGGCTCCCTGTGCTGGTGTGCCTGGTGCTGTCCGTGGCTGGGATGACTAAGTTTCCCAAGGCAAAGGGTAGAATTTGTAGTCTGATAAATACTCAAAGGGATGTGTACTTCATTCATTACATTTGTCTACTTAAATCACTTACTTTTATTTGTGTGTGTGTATGTTGCGTG